GAGCAGTCAACAATATTGTTCCTGTGAAGATTCAAGATTTAATTTATATATTTTATTTGATTTTTTTATTGTCATGTGTATCTTGTTAAAAAATACAGCGAAAATGTTGTATAGTGTTGCCATTCATCGGTGCCATCTTAAAACACAGAAAAAAATAGATCAAAACATAGAATAGACAGGCAGAAAAATGAAGAAATAAAGAAAGTGTCCAACTTTACAGTCTTTCTTATTAAGTGCTCCGTCATGGGCCAATGGGCAAGGTCTCTTTCTCCGCACTGCGCCATTGCTGCTGGAATGCAAGTTCTCATCCTCTGGTGCCACCTCACCTCCACCGACGCCCTTGCCTCTATGAGTCCTCACTGGACTTCGGCAATGCAGACACTTCCAATGCCGTCGGGTACCAAATGAGCCCTAACTCGACTCCACAGCCAACAAGAGTCTGCTTCAGGCCCACCTCGCTGATGCAGCTGCTGTTGATGTTACTGGGTCTCATACTGGGCCCAAACTCTTCTCGATCACTTCTGCGCCCATGGATCTGTGCTGGATGCAGAACCCAGATGTGCCTCTTCAGTAGCAGCTATAAGTCAGTGCTAGAACTGCCTCAGCGATGCAGAAACCGCTGGGAACCCAAACTTGCCTCCGGTGCCACAAGTCTGCACTGCTGGGCCCACTTAAGTCCACATTGCAAGGCCCACTTGAGTCCATGCTGCTAGGCCCACTTAGGTCCAAGCTGCTGGGCCTACTTGAGTCCTTGCTGCTGGGCCCAGTCGAGTACAGGCTGCTGGGCCCATTTGCTGCCACCAATGACTTCGCCGAGACCGAGGTCTTCACAAAGAGGTAAGTAAAATTAAATAGAAGAGGAAAAAAAAGAAAAGTGAGAAAAAAAAGAAAAGAATCAAAAACAAAAGTGTATGGAAAGGACAAGCCAGAGCCTCAGAAACCCTGCTCCACCCCCATCATCAGTTGCATTAAGACAATTCATGACTACGGGTAAAAATTCCAAAAGAACTACATATGGTGGAAATTCAGAAACAAAAACAGAAATTGCTGGAAAAACTCAGGACGCCTGGCATCACCTGTGGACAGAAATCAGCGTTAATGTTTCGGGTCCAGTGACACTTCTTCAGAACTAAGCTCTGGATCTGAGAGAGCTGCTGCATAGATACAGGGAAAGGTTAGGATCCTGGTTTGGTCCTAAAAAATCTACAGGATCAAAATGCTGATAATCACAACTAAGACTCGCAACAAGGGTGCGGAAGGCCCTGAAGCCAAATGATTTACAATCTGCTCATCATTGAGGAGAATAATAAGCAAGTGGAGCCCAATCCTGACTTCACCCCGACATGGACTTTCCAAACACTGGTCACTGGGTGATGCCTCAGAAAAGGAAGACGGTAACACTGAGACGAATGTGCGTACCCAACAACCTGGGTGGGGCTATGAAAACTCTGCTCTCTACAAGTGTCAGCCTGACCCAGTGCTTGCACTGTTGCCTCTGAGTAATGTGTTCCAGCTCAACTTCACGGTATAAACACTTACTCAATGTTGAATGGGCATACAGTATTGAGAGAGTGTGGCATTCTGGGTACTAAAATCAAGCCCCAGCCTGCCCTCTCTGGGATGTGTGTGCATGTGTTTATACAATTACGTGGCACTATTTGAAGATGGGAGTGGGGAAGGTCCTTTTGCAGTCCTGGGCAATATACTTGTCCCTTATCATTGAAACAGATTTATTTCTTTGCTGTTTATGGAATCTTGCTATATGCAAATTGGCTGCAGCATTTTCCACAATACAACAGTGACTACACTTCAAAAGTACTTTGCTGGTAATGAAATGCTTTTCAGAAGTGAAAGGAGGTATGAAAATCTGTTTCTTTCCATACCTCAATCTCATACTGAGGCTAATCCATTCAAACAACTGGAATACTTTCCACGCAATGCTCCCAATTTTTCTGATCTGCAAACACAGTGTTCAACATCTGTCAGGACAAACTGTGAAGTCTAATCACAAGCTCCTTCTCCATATGAGTTTGTTTCAGTTCCCACTTAATGGGCTGTGTCAGAGACCACCCACTCTGGCCCAGTGGGAAGCAGCAAACCTGCATGACCTTGGATCCTACTAACGTAGCTTCTAGATATGTTGTGTATTGGATCAGCTTGCTGTGGATTCACTCAGGGGACGGTGCATATGCAAGTCTCCTTTTTAAACTTCATCCACAGGATGGGGGCATCTCAGGTTAGATCAGTATATATTATTCACCACCAATTACACTGGAGAGGAGGCCGGCGGTACTGAGCCGCCTCCTTAAACAGCTGCACGTGCTGTAGGCTGACCCACAATGCTGTCAGGAAGGGAATTCCAGCATTTTGACCCAGTAACACTGAAGGAACGACGACATACTTCCAAGTCACGATGATGAATGGCTTGGAGGGTAATTTGCAGGGGAAGGTGTTCCCATGTATTTGCTGTCCTCGTCCTTCTGGGTCCATCTCTCCTTATGTTAATAATAACCTGTAGATAATACTCCTACGTGAATGTGGCAAGGTCTCCACAAACAAAAAAAAGTATTCAGTAAGTCTGTGATGCATTTTCCAGAATGTTCTATTTATATTGTTTCCTGAATGTGCAATGTGAGATTTTCGTGGTGCAATCCTTGTTACAACATAGCCTAATTTCCCCTGGGCACTGAGATGATTTATTCTCACAGTATCTTAATGTTGTTTTAACTAAATCAGCCCGAACAAGGGACTAAACTCATTGACATTTATAAAGCACATGGATCTGTACTTAGCAAGGTTGATGTTTACCTATCTCTGGCATGGAAATAAAGGGCTGAATGGTCTCCTTCTGTGCATTAAATGTCTCTCTCCACTGTTAGGAGGAGTTCAACCAGATTGGGAAACGTTTAACAGTAACTTTACTAAGGCAATGGAATTTACCAGCTGAACATAGAACCACTGCGCTGCTTGTAATTTGTCAGATAACAAAATAAGTATGTGGGCAGTAAGAGGTTGGGCATGAATGCAATTTGCCCTTTAAAGGTGCAAACTGACAAACCTGGAAGTCAACCACGGCAGAGGCTGGAGATTAATGTATGGGATTGTGCAACTGGTGAAGAAATGACTGTCGTTTCTTCCAGGTCTTTCACACCCCCAGTTCAACCCCCTTTCTCCCTGGCTTACTCCATATACCTCAGCAGCACTCTCACTGCAGATACCACATGGAATTCAGATGTCACATGGTGGCTGTACAGGACACTGGTGAGACCACTTTTGGAATACTGCATAAAATTCTGGTTGCCCTTCAATAGAAAGGATGTTGTTAAACTTGAGATGGTGCAGAAAAGGTTTACAAGGATGTTGCCAGGACTGGATGGTTTGAGCTATTACAGGGATGTTGCCAGGACTGGCAGGTTTGACCTATAGGGAGAGGTTGAATAGGCCAGGGCTATTTTCCCTGCAGCATTGGAGGTGAGGGGTGACCTTATAGAGGTTTATACAATCACGAGGGGCATGCATTGGGTGAATAGCCAGTGTCTGTTTTCCTAGGGTGCGGGAGTTCAAAACTAGAGGTTCAAGGTGAGAGGGGAAAGATTTAAAAAGGGCCTGAGGGGTAACTTTCTCATGCAGAGGGTGATGCGTGTATGGAATAAGCTTCCAGAGGAAGTGGTGAAAGCTGGTACAATTGCAATATTTAAAAGGCATCTGGATGGGTATATGACTAGGAAGGGTTTAGAAGGATTTCAGCCAAATGCTGGCAAATAGGTCAGATTTGGATGTCTGATCGGCATGAACGAGTTGGATCGAAGGATCTGTTTCCATGCTGTATGAATCTATGACCGCTGGCGACCTTTAAAATTGGGAGCACGTAATCTCCTTCCCTGCTTTCCCAACCATTTGCCAGCCCTAAACAGACAGTAATGCTAGAGATATTTTCTTCATTTAATCCCACTCACCTTTCTGGTAAGTAACCAGTCACTGAACATAAGCATGCAGGTGCAGCAGGTGTTAAAGAAGGCAAATGGTAGGTTGGCCTTCATTGCAAGACGTTTTGAGTACAGGAGCATTGTTGCAGTTATACAGGGCCTTGATGAGGCCACACCTAGAATATTGTGTGCAGTTTTGGTCTCCTTTTCTGAGGAAGGATGCTCTTGCTCTTGGAGTGCAGCGAAGGTTTACCAGGCTGATTCTGGGGATGGCAGGTCTGACTTATGAGGAGAGACTGACTAGGTTGGGATCGTTTTTGCTAGAGTTCAGACGAATGAGGAGGGAATTTCATAGAGCCTTACAAATTTCTAAGAGGACGGGACAAAGTAGATTCAGGGAGGATGTTCCCAATGGTGGGTGTGTCCAGAACCAGGGGTCACAGTATGAGGATTCGGGGTAGACAATTTAGGACAGAGATGAGGAGACATTTCTTCACCCAAAGAGTGGTGAGCCTGTGGAATTCATTACCACAGGAGGTAGTTGATGCCAAAATATTGAATGTATTCAAGGTGACTAGACATAGCACTTGGGGTGAATGGAATCAAAGATTATGAGGATAAAGCAGGATTAGGCTATTGAGTTGGATAATCAGCCATGATCATGAAGAAAGGCTGAGTAGCTTCAAAGGGCCAAATGGCCTCCTCCTGCTCCTATCTTCTATGTTTCTATGTAAGTAGGATGCTAAAATCCAGCCCAATATCTCAGTCAAAGAAGACTGTATTCATACAGAACCTTCTGTGACCTCGGGAACTTTTTGTGGTCACGATTGTTATATTGATGCTGGAGTGTACTCGCTTGCTTGTCTTCAAAAAGTGCCACATAATCTTTGGCACTTATCCGAACGGGCAGACAAGTTTAACATTTCATTGGGGAAAACAGCACCTCTGACAATGCAGCATTCCTTCAGTAGAGAACTTTATGCTTTGTTCACCCACCAAACTGATTGTTATTGTTTCAGGACTACAATGCTCGCACTGGGATGCAAACTGATGGCAAGAAAGAGACACAACCAGTTTATTTTAAATGTATATTTTATTTCATTTTTATATTAAAATTTTTCAGTGAGTTTTTTTTAATAGGAAGACAAAAACAATTGGCAACGCATCATCATTACATAGTATAAATCCAGCCACGGTCCATAGCTCAATTATTCAGCGTCTCCCACCCTCACCCCACACCACTAGACAAACCCCTCCCCCAACCCCACTCACTACCTTCAAAGCTGTGTCAAAAGCGAACATAAAGAATAAGATCACCATAAACAAGCAGAGAGTGCCTTGAATATTGAGGGGTCAGTGGGCCAATGCCTCTCCCCTCAAGGCGCAGTGTTGTGATTATTGACGTGCCATACTTATATAAAAAACTGGTCGGCATTGTGGAAACCACAGGGGCAATGGAGCCTTTTCCGGCTGCCAATCTCAGGACGCATGTTCCGATGCACACCTCTTTTCCTGTTCGATTACTGCAAAGACAATTTGTAGAAATTACAGCTAGACACCTGTCGCTCAAACACCTCAAAGCCTAACAAGAGCAAATATTAGTGGTGGGGCAGTGCACTAGCCCAGTTGATAATGAAAATGCCAATGTTTTGTCTGGTGTTGGTTTCAACAAGTCTTTTAAACGAAGGGCAATCCACTAAAATTCATAAGTTACATAGTTTGTTGGCAGATATATGCAGGTGGTTGATTTTTGTTTTAATTTGGTGCACAGTTCCTTATTGATTGGTGTGATTAATTTGGACCCCAAACTCAGAAAACCTTAGCACACATTCTCCTGTGTTATATGAAAGTGGTACTGGCAGTTAACAGGTCATCTGGAAAATTCTTAAGAATCGCCTTCTGAAAATCAAAAGAACATGTAACCAGAAGACAGCTGGAGAAGGGAATACTGAATGAAAAGAGGAACAGTGTTTATTTTAGAAGAGACAGTCACAACCACAATGGATTAGCTGATGTCTTGGTATTTTACCTAACTGAAGAGTCACTTGAAAAATATTCTTACACTGAACCGCGTCATGAAAATCCAAACAGGGAAAAAAAACTCTCAAGCTTCTCAATCAATTTGATCAGGCTGGATCTGCACTTCAACTTCATTTACCTACTCTTCATAGCTCTGATTTCACTTCTGAACTGCCTTGATGTAATTTGTTCTTGATTTCTTTGTACTTATCTAATCTTTTCAACATTAATTGATCTTGTATCAGATCACTCTTCAACATTCCACTCTTAACGGAGTACAGGTTGAGGCCAGCCTTTGTCATATTATAATCTTTTAAACCTTTATATCATTCTGGTATATCTATATTTTTATCAATTTGACCTTTCAATGATGCAAAGCCCCGAACTGAGCAATTACTCCAGATGGAGCGCTTTCAGAGCTGAAACCACTGAGGCACAACTTTCTCCCTTTTGAACTCCAACTTTTAACAGGCCTATTATTTTGAGATATTTTTATTGCTTTTTCATACCTGCTTGTAGTTCTTAGCGTGCAGTTTGAGTACGTATTTAAGTAAATTCTATCCTGCATACACACAACTGAGTCTCTCAACATTGAGACAGATTCTAGTATGTCTTTCTCAGGTCTGTAGTCTCCATTTCACAGTTCACCATACTGAACTACCTCTGCCATGGTTTTTTCCCACTCACCTAGTCTGTCACTGTAATCTCCTCTTCCCTTCCCACAAGGGTGTGGCGTGGTTGAGTTGGTAAATGCGCCTATCTAGTGAAAAGGAGATCCTGGATTCAAATTGCAGCAGTGCCTACGCTTTACCATGCTTGTGGTATGTGTGCAGTTTGCACGTTCTCTGCGTGGGTTTCCTCTGGGTGCTCTGGTTTCCTCCCACAGACCAAAGATGTGCCGGTTAGGTGGACTGGCCATGCTAAATTGCCCGTAGTGTCTAGGGGTGTGTAAGTTAGGTGGATTATTCATGGGAAATGCTGGGTTATAGGGAATGGGTTTGGGTGGGATGCTCTTCGGAGGGGCAGTGTGGATTTGTTGGGCTGAATGGCCTGTTTCCATACTGTAGGGATTCTATGAACACACTGTACCCCCAGACTTACAGATTCCAGCAAACTTGGATATCAATTCTCTCCTTGTTCAGGTCATATTGCACTCTGGAAAATGTGATCTGTCACAGTCCCTGTAAGTTAGAGAATGTTCCCAATACCTCAACCAATTTCTGAGCTACAACACAGGTTTGTCTCCTATTCTGAGCACTGTCATTATTGTCAGCAGTCTATTGTGCAGAACTTGATAAATGTTATTCTGAAAGTCTATACAGGCACTGTGCTATTTTCAAAAAGGTCAATAGACTAGTTACATATGGCTTACTCTAAATAATTTTATGCTAACATTCTGGTCAGCTAATACTTTATCTAAGTACACAGCGCTAACGACAAATTCCTAGTTCTGATTTCCCTTACTTCTTCCTGGCTATACAAAAAAATAGTTTCTCTTTCCTTTATTGTATCAAAATCCTGAACGGCTTTGAAGACCTCCAATAAATTTATCACCGATCTCTCTGCTTTAAGAAAACAAATGATTCCACCCTCTTCAATGTCTCTCTAAACTAAAGTCCTCCAAACCTGGTGACCATTCTTATAAATCTCCTCAGTCCCTTCCAAGGATTTTGACATATGTCCTGAATTAAACACAATACACTGGCCTAATCAGGATTTTATCAAGGTTTAGCATAACACCCTTGTTTTTGAACCCAATGAAGCCACTGTTAATAAAATTAAGTCTATTCATCTAACTCTGCGTTTAGAATTTGCCTCTCTGAATTTTACAAATTATCGTTAGCCAATGTCAGAGAATCCCTACAGTGTGGAAGCAGGCCATTCAGCCCATCAAGTCCACGCTGACAGTCTAAAGAGCATCCCAACCAGACCCACCCTATTCCTGTAATGCTGTACTTCCCCTGGCTAATCCACCTGGCCTACACATCCCTGGACACTATGGACAATTTAGCATGGCAAATCCACCGAGCCTGCACATTTTTGGACTGTGGGAGGAAACCACAGCACCCAGAGGAAATCCATGCAGACACAGGGAGAACATTCAACTCCACACAGACAGTCGCCCCAAAGGGTGGAACTGAACCCAGGTCCCTGGCGCTGTGAGGCAACAGTGCTAATTGCTGAGCAACCATGCCGCCCTTGTTAGAGTTTAAGATTGGTGTGCTTTGACTCTGGCAACTCAAGTACAAGAAAAAAACACATTGTCAACTCCACAGAAACTCATCAATTTAGATAGAGTTCAACTAATCACGGAAACTTTAAAACATGCTATCAGGGCGGGCTTGCTGAAGTGGCAAGCGTTGAGTTACAAAACAGCATGCAACAGAGTAAAATCAAGCCAAAGGGTCTCTCCAGACTTTATCTGCAGCCAAATGCAAACTAAGCTCCTCCCAAAGGGAGATTTAAACACTGCAACTGAAGTCAAGACTGTCCTCTCCTATGTATCCCCACAGTGTACTTCTCCTCATACATAACCTCCAGGTCAGACACAGATACTTGGAAAATGCAGCCCAATGGGAAACAATAAAGTGGAACAATAGAATTATAATTGTACACACCCTCTTTTGTTGGCAGTGTGTTCTTCTCCTGAGTCTCCGTTCTCTTTAGGCTGCTCCTTTTGAAAGATGTGACTTCCGACATGTCTTTCCTCTGATCGTCCCCTTGTTTGTCCGGCATGTTTTACAGTTCACTGTAAAAAGAAAACAGTTTCCAGTTTCTTCACGAGAACCTTCCCAAGAAGGACTGAGCGCTAGAGGGTGGGAAATTCCTGAATCAAGCAGCAACTGGGAAAAGAAACAGCAGACATGGGAAGAATTGGCAGTAAAAGGAGAGAAGATGAGACAATGAGAATCAAAAACACTAAAAATATAGAGAAGACAGGAAAGCAGAAAATTGGACTTTTCAAAAATTCATATTTGACTCCGAATAATTTTCAGCAAAGCTACTTTGTAATATTTTTCACAAAGTGAGTAGGATCTGGAATGCATTACCTGGAAGTATGGTGGAGGCAGGTTCATTTGATGCATTCAATAGAGCACAGGATGATTATTTGGATAGAAGTGGTGTGCAGGGGAATGGAGAAAGGCAGGAGGCAATGATTTATTGAGCCATGGCTAAATGGCTTGTTTCTGGGCTGTATCATATCTGTGATTCTGTGAATTGAGTGATTTGTACAGTCAGAATCAATCATGTCACCTGAAGATGCCAACTGGGATATGGGCAGGTTCATTACATAACACTAATTTCAGACCACATGATATCCACCCGTATGAATTCAACCAATGTTACCTGAATTATTTGTCATGTGTGCGTTCACTTAGAATGAATATTTTTGCTGACATTGTTAGCATGTTCACATTCTGTCATGGGACCCTGGTGTTTCTGGAAAGGCAAGCATTTGTCAGCCTGCTCTAATTGTCCTTGAAAAGGTGGTGAGTCATCTTTCTGAACTTCTGCAGTTCATGTGGTGCAGGTACATGCACAGCAATGCTAGGGAGTTAGTAGTAGTGTCACTGGATTCATCATCCAAAACCAAGTCTGGCACCCGTTGGTTCAAATCCCACCGCCGCAACTGGTAGAAATGAATTCACTTAATTCACCCATTCCCTTTTGACATTTCTGACATCACATGGGATTGCTACACTGCTGGTGGATCACTCATCACGACACACTCTATTCTTGGAATCGAAGGGTGGTGTTACGACCAGATGTCCTTCCAGCCTATAAGCCCCATTGATCCAGGCCAGGGACTAGCTCTGTCACACACTGACTTGCCTGCGCCATTAGCTAACTCCTTTCACGACAAGGAATCCAGGGGTGGGAAATCAACCAAGCATCTTTCAGGTCAGAGGTAACCCTAAACCTGAGCCATTCCAGCTCCTAACTGCAATTAATAAATGTGGAATTGAAAGGCTAGTCTTAGTATGCTGACTATGAATCAATTATTGATGGTTGTAAAACTATCTCAGTGGTTAGCACTGCTGCCTCACAGCGCCAGGGACCCAGGTTTGATTCCAGCCTCAGTTGACTGTCTGTGTGGAGTTTGCACATTCTCCCTGTGTCTGTGTGGGCTTCCTCCCGGTCCAAAGATGTGCAGGCTAGGTGGATTGGCTATGCTAAATTGCCTATAGTGCCCAGGGCACTATTAGATTAGGTGGGTTAGACAAGGGGAAATGTAGGGATAGGGGAATGGGTCTGGGAGGGATGCTCTTCAGAGGGGTGGTGCGGACGTGTTGGGCCGAATGGCTTGTTTCCAAACTGTAGGGATTCTATGATTCTTAAAACCAACATGGGAAATGAATATCCTTTAAGGGAAGGAAATCTGCCGTCATTACCATGTCTGGTCTAATGTAACTCCAGACCCACACAATATGATTAATTTTTTTTAATAACAGCCCCTAAAATGGCTGAGCAAACCAGTTAGTTCAGGGGTGGGCAAAATATGTTTGCCTTGTCAGTGACCTCCATATTCCATGAAATAAACAGATAAAAGCTCTGGAGGAAGGGAAAGCTGGGAGGAAAAACTAGAGAGACGGTCGAGCAATAGGGCAGAAAAATGCGCGGGGAGAGAAGGTTAAAGGGACTAAGGAGAGAGATAGAGAGGCAGGAAAGTGGCATATTGGGAGTGAGTGGGGATAGTGAATGCGAGGCAAGAGGGGGTAGTATGGGGAAAGATGGGTAAATGAGTGTGCAGAGAGAGTGGGGCAAGAGAGTGCAGTGAGAGGGGTGAAGTGAGAGATGGGAGTGAGTGAGTGTGGAGGAAAGGTGGAGGGGGCATGAATGTGGAAAGGGGGGAAGTGAATGCAGGGAGGTAGGTGGAAGTCAGTCGAGGGACAGGGAGCTGGAGGGCGAGCTCAAGTGAGTGAGGGGTGATGCAGGAAGAAAAAGGGGGACAGGGCAACAGACCTCTCTGTTTATTCCATATGAATGCTTCAAGGTTTTGAACATCTGTTTGAATCTCCTCTTATGCTTCTCTTTTCAAAATAGAGAAACACCAGTTCCTTCAGTCAATTCATACAGCAGTAATCCTTGCACTCTGGACCTATTCTCATGGATCTCTTCTGCATCTTCTCCAAAACCTTCACAATCACTGCCTTTCTAAAACGTCTGTGACTCCATGGCATGGTGTCCAGAACTGGACATAGTACTTTCGCTCAGGTCAAAACAAACAGTCTTTGTTACTTTCTCCCATTATAAAATCCAGCATATCATCTGCTTTATGAACTGTTCTGATGATCTGTCCTTTGCCCTTTGTAGATTAGTGCACCAACAACCCATCAGGTCTATTTGTTCTTGTGTCCAATTTAAAACTGTTAACACTTTAGCTTACATTGCCATTCCCCATTCTGTGTATCAAGATAAATCACCTCTCAGTTTTCTGCAGTGCGAGAGTTTGTCTAGGTCTTCCTGAACTCTATTTCTGTTTTCCTTGCGATTTATTAAAAACAGCCACAATCCTAACACTGACACCTGGGCATTCCACTCTCTGCCTTCCTCAAATCCAACAAAAAGCCATTCAGCATAACTTTTTTTTTTAACCCCCTTAATAACTCTGGATACAGAATGCCAGTGGCATTTTTTTAACCATACACTTCTGCTTCACTAAATGGTCTGATAAATATTGGTTTGTTGAATGTTTTTTTCCAAAATCCATTTAACATTTAACATCACCAACCATACAGCTCTCATGTGCCCATCAAAAATCTGAAATCAATGAGTCAAACATTGTCTGTTCCTATCAAATCTATCTTGGATTCTCCCTTCACAGTGTATTCTTGTCCATGTACCTCTAATCGATTACTGTTTCCAAAAGACTCCCTTAAGTCAATGTTAAACTGACTGACCTCTAATTTAAGATAACAAGGTGTAGAGCTGGATGAACACAGCAGGCCAAGCAGCATCAGAGGAGCAGGAAAGCTGACATTTCGGGTCGAGACCCTTCTTTCCTGGCCTGCTGTGTTCATCCAGCTCTACACCTTGTTATCTCAGATTCTCCAGCGTCGGCAGTTCCTACCATCTCTGACCTCTAATTTATCTAGTTCATCGCTGTCTCTCAGTTTTTTCAACAAGAGTGTAATATTTGCAATTGCTTCAAACCTCTGGCACCACCTTTGTATCTCAGGAGTGTAGATGATTCCGGCTTGCACCTCAGAGTCGTGGAATCATAGAGATGTACAGCATGGAAACAGACCCTTCAGTCCAAATCATACATGCTGACCAGATATCCTTCAGTCCAAATCATACATGCTGACCAGATATCCTAAATAAATCTAGTCCAATTGCCAGCATTTTAATTTTAATGCCCTCAGTATTTTTTGATGCATCCTCTTGGATGCTGGTGATCTATTCACGCCAAGCACTGCCAGCCATCACAATATTTCCACCTTAATCTTTAGTTAATCTTTAGTATCCGGACTATCTTCTCAGTATCACAGCCTCAGCAAAGTTATCTCCTTCGGTAAGTACAAATGGTTTGCATTTACTTCAATCATATTTTCTGCCTCCAAAACAGACTTCCATTTTGATCCGGAGTAGGAAGCGCCTCTGACAATCCTTTCCCAGTTAATATGCCCACAGACAACATCTAGGTTTCCTTTTATGATAGGCATCATATATTCTCATAGTCCCTAGTATTTACTTCTTCATTCCTCTGGACTTTATATTCAGCCAGACTCTCCTTTATGTCAACAATCTGGTATTTGTCATACACCCGCCTTTTCCGCTTCATGTTACTCTACAGCAAACAAACTCTGACTTTGGTTGCAGTTCCTTTATTTCTGGAAATAATCCTCAACTGATCTATTCTACACTTCTTTCAAGTCTGACCTTGTTATCTTCCATTTCAGCTTGCAAAATTTGACTCCAACTAACCCAAGGCAGATCTCCCCTCATTTTGTTGAAATTGGCCTTCTTTCAGTGAAAGATGTTTAATCTAGATTGATTCTTCTTCCTCTCAATAACTAATCTAATCCTTATGACTTTATGATCACTATTCCCAAGATGTTCACTCACTGCAACATCTTTTAATTGACCCAGTTTGTTCTCCAGGACTAGATCTGGAAATACTCTCTCCTCATTAGGCTGAAAGCACGCTGCTCAAAATATTTCTCCTAAATACACTTCAGAACTTCCCCCTCCCATCTGTCCTTAACGCAATCACTGTCTCCAGATAATATTAGAAAAGTTAAAGTCTCCTATTATTACTAACCATGATCTTTTGGGGTGCTTTGCTGCAAAGCCATCAGGAATGTGCTCTGTAGTGAACTAACGAACTGCTCACAAGTCATGGTACCTTGAAGAGACATGCATTTGGGTTGATCTAGAATCTTAAAGGGACCACGCAAATAATGAAGGGAACATGGATCACTGTGCTAAACATCTTGCATTTTTCAGTATTTTCCCTGCAGACCCATTCCATTAATGTTCCTCCACTAATTGAGAGCCTATTAAATACACCAGTAATATAACAGCTCCTGTCTTGTTTCTTACCCTCAGTGTAACTCATAGTCACCTATCAATATTCACTCTGAAACCATAAACTGTACACACTGCAGTCCACAATGTGTAGTCAGGCTCCTCAGTTGATGCTCCATCTCTCTCTCTCCCTCTGTTTCCTTGTCTGACTGGACTCTCTCTGTGCTCTGGTTTCTTGTGAAGGTGATCAGCCTGAACTGGGAATCTCAGTCAGAGCTGATCTATTCTTGGAATACTTATCAGGACGATAGAGGCTGACCTGAAGCAAACCCAGAGATCATACAGAGGGCAGTAGGCTTGTGATTTAGGGAAATTCTCAGGGGGCACATCAACCTGAACTCCGCAAAGCATCAACCCTTTGAAAACACTCCTTGGGTGTGGAGCCATTGAAGTGATATTCATAGGCTGTGAGAAACTATAGCACAAGAAAAGACCATTCAGCCCTCATGTTGCTACTTCCTCCTGCATCCCCATTCTCCCCCAAAATATCTTTATTTTACATTGCTCCTTTACAATTACTTCTCCCATTTCTCTTGAAATGAAGTTATAGTCTCTAACACAATTGGTCAAATATGGTGAAGTAATACGCAGTCAAATAGCTCTCATGTCATGAAGCTGGGTTTCCTGTCCCTGCTTCTCCGTATTTTGCAAAAGTCTTCTGCAATCCACCCACAGTGAAGTCCCAGATTTCACCTGCCTTTTTACAGCATGCAAAATTGGGGGCCATTCAGCCCCTCAAGCCTGCCTGCATCCTCATCTCCCCCTTGCCTCACTCTCTCATATCTCTTGATTGCCTTGTTTTCAAAGATCTATCATTCTCAGGGTTGAATATGCAACACTGGGATCACACACAGTCCTGTAGGCTGCACAACTCCAAAGATGCATATTGCTTTCAGTGAAACAATCTGACCACCCAAACAGCAGACCCTCTAACTTAACACTGCATCCACAGTTTTCAAATCTCTAGTCAAGTGGCATATCCAGTCAGCATCTACCCTGTCAAACCCGCCTCAGATATTTTATATGCTTCAAAGATGTCACCTCTCATTCTTCTCAACTCTAGTGAGTATATTATTTATTCAACTCTCCTCAAGGATTGCTGGATGAGAGGATTTTCCAACCTAGAGATTGAACCTCTCTCAGTATCGTTCATGCTCTCTGTCCTCTTTACTGAATGTTCCTGGGAAATGCTGGCCATCAGCTCACACACTCACATGAACCCCAAACCCGAACCAGACTCCTTGCTCCCACAGTCAACTAACTACTAATTAACCACCTTTCCCTCTAAACCTTCAATGCTGAGTTCTCCTGGATTTCCCTCTCCAGTCCCGCCCTGCTCTCTCTCCAGTTTGCACAGGACTACACTCCTCACAGTTCTGGCTACCTACAGGGGATGTTACCAAGCTTAAGAACTCTCTCCTCAGTCAGTGGAGTCAGTGTGAACACCACACTGATGCATACTTTCTCTCTCTCTCTCCGACACAGTCTCACTCTTTCTCTCTCTCTTTCTCGCACTCATGTTCTCTACGACACTAGCTTTCTCTCTCTGGCCCACTCTTTTTCTTCTCGGTCCTACTTTCTGTCTCCCTCATGCACATATACACTCCTCTTTTTCCCTGTCTGGGATTCTCAGGTAGATTCCCTATTGCTATCTGAATCTCGGCATCCCTGAGAGAAACAGTGCCTCTGTCTCTCTGACATACTCCTCTGTTATCTTCTTTGGCACGTACACTCTCTGTTTCGTTCAAACTCCATCTGGCACTCAATCTCTCTCTGACATTCTCAGATGCATGCATACAGCTCTCTCTCTCACTCTGAGACACAAGCTGTCTCCCATCAAGATGCTTCTATGTGATTTAGAAAGTCTGGACCAGCTTAGGCACAGTGAGATACAGCAAATGGAAGTTAGGGAGTTGGTAAGCTAAATTGTTTTTCTCTGCACCTTATGACTGTGGGGAAGATGATCAGAAATTGACCTGGTCATTTGCAATGCAATCACCGCATCACTGGGGAATGTTCCTTCAGTACCTAATTTCTTGACTGCCGTCCTTAAACCACTCTTCCTCTCATCCTTTAATCTGTCTCTCACAACTAATGATAAGACCTAGTCACTTTCTTTGACTTTGTGTCAAATGTTGCCTATTATTCTCTTGCGAAGATTCACCATGTTAACTGTGCAACGGATACAGGCATTCATGATGCAAAATAAGTCAGCTCTGCTCTGAAACTGGGAAACTATTTCATTCTGTACACTTGTGTGTGTCTGTGTGTTGCCTATGTCCATGTATGTTTGTATCTGTGTATGTGTATGTATGTCTGCATGGGTGTGTTTGCGTATGCCTGTCTGTGTACATGCATGTTTGCACAGATGTGTGTGCATTTGTGCGTGCATGCATGCATGTCCTTGCATACTTGCTTGTATCTATGTATTTGGATGTGTTGTGTGCACGTCTGTGTATTGGGGTGTACGTGCAAGCATATGAGCGACTGGAAAAATTTGCGTGGTGATATGTGTGCATGGATGACTGTGAATGCACGTACGTTTGAGCCTGTATGTGTGTGAGAGTGCGCTTAAGTGTATGAGGGTGTCGCTGTGTCTCTGTAACAACCTCACATCAATATTGAAGCTACTGGCCAGTAAAAAAGGGAGTTTCTAATCATAGGGGATGTGGCTAGTGATATTGACGAAGAGACTATCAATCACAAAATCCTAAATTTGTAATAAGGCAGGGTGGTATGAGGAAAGGATGGTGAAGAGGAGAGGGAAGAGAAAATTGAGGAATTAGAGAGGGAAATAGTGACTGAAGAAACAAAGGAGGGTGCAGATAGGAGTGGCAATGGCTGTTGTAGGGAGGTGGAGGACAGGGAGGAGGGGACAGAAGAAAATGGAAGGCAGACACAGTATGAGCTTGGGTAGGCGCACAAATGATCAACTTCTCAATCTCCCGAAAGACTCGACTACCACGGACACAGTTACTGCCTGAAGGATTGAAAACAGTTTCGCACTTAACCCATTATTCTTCCAAACTTCTTTCACTCAGACTCAGTAACTGTGAATGCTGACCAGAGAGCGGACTGGTATTTGTAAAATTAAGAAGAAAAATAGGTGCCTCCTTTGCACTGACTGTGAGGTACTAAAGCTGCATACCTTTGGGTTGAAGGCAGCATATTTGCTCAAACTTAGTACAAACTGCTCTGCCAGGCTGGAACAATTCAAATTCGAGGCTAATACGTGACTAAGAAACAAATGACAGCACCCAAGACACACCCACCTTCAAAATCTTAGAACAGTAACACGCTTTCCTTCAGAAATGGACCAAAAAGAATTCAAACACGTTACAGCAGACAACCCTAATCGATTTTAACGAGTAAAAAAATCAATACTGCCTTGACAAATCCCTTTGCTTCCCCCTCTTTAGCCCCAGGATCAGAAAATAAATTGAGCTGGAAATTCTGGGAGAGATTAGAAAGAGAGAGAAAAAAAAGTATTTTCCATTTGAATGTTTGAAACGTTGCTTTCAACAAACCTAGTTTTATCCACAGCTACAAGATAAAAAAGCATTGTTCAGACTCTTATTTTGCAATAGTTTGCAGCCCAGTGTTTTCAACACCACCAGATTACATCGCCGATGGAATTCCAGATGTTATCCCCAGGGCTTGAAAGGCTTGGAAAATATTTCCAACATTTAGTAAACAAATTTGGTTTTCCTCACCTCGACCCACACCCCCGCTTCCCCAAACTCTCCTCTCTTTGCATTGTAAAATCAGGACAAAAAAAAAGACATATTTCAAAATCGATTCACTTTGTGGTAAAATTAGAGTATAACATAATTTTACAGCAACAATGCCTAAAGAGTTTTTTTGTTCCACAGTTGGTAGATTGAGCTCAGATCTGCCATTAGTTGCCCTGTCCTTACCTGTGCTGCTAGGCAGGTGTGTCAATGCAGCTATCTGTCTCTCTTTCTTCCCCTCTTTATCTCACTCCTTCCCCACTCAGTCCTTTTTATTCCGGCCCTGCAGCTCAACCGAACCTGAAGCAGCTCTCCCTCCCGCCCCCCAAAAGGCGGTGCTCACAAAATCTTGTTCTGGTTGGACCTCAGAAGTATCAATCATTGCATGCTGCTGCCTGCAGGTTAGGATGCATTGCTTGTCGTAGCTCTCTGCAGTTAAATAAATGAAGGCACAGCAGAAGGAATTCAACCTATCAATTCTATTAACCACAACAAAACATGTTGTTTTATTTAGACCAATACAATGCCTAAATGATTGAAACCCACTTTATCCAGCTAATTCCGTAGAGATCCCAGAGAGGGTTTGATGCTTTGTAAAGGTTGCCATCTGGTGGATAGAACTCGAACTTGGGAAGCAGGGTCGCTCGTCTCTTTTTCTCTTCCCTTAGAATGCCCACAATGCGGAAGTAGGCCATTCGACCCAGCGAGTTTACCACTGACCCTCCGAAAAGCATCCCACCCAAACCCACCTCACTACCTTGTCCCTGTAACCCTGCATTTCCCTTGACAAACCCACCTGGTCTTCATACCACTGGGCACTGTGGGAGTATATATAAATGATCTGGAAGAAAATGTGGGTGGTCTGATAAGCATGTTTGCTGATGACACGAAGATTGGTGGAGTTGCTGATCGTGCCAACGATTGTGAAAGGATACAACAGCATATAAATAGAATGGCGACTTGGGCACAGAAATGATAGATGGAGTTTAATCCAGACAAATGTGAGGTGATGCATTTTGGAGGATCAAATTTAGGTGTGAATTATATTCTAAACGGCAGAACCCTTAGGAACACTAACATTCAGATCGATCTGGGTGAGCAGGTCGACAGTTCCCTGAAAGTGGCAACACAGGTAGCCAAGGTGATTAAGAAGGCATATGCCATGCTTGCCTTCATCGGCTGGGACGTGGAGTACAAGAGTTGGCAAAACATGTTGCAGCTATATAAAACCCTTGCTAGGCCGCATTTGGAGTATTGTGTGCAGTTTTGGTCACCACACTACCATAAGGATATGGAAGCTTTGGAGAGAGTACAGAGAAGGTTCACCAGGATGTTGCCTGGTCTCCAGGACATTAAATATGAGGAAAGGTTAAAAAAAGACTAGGATTGTTTTCACTGGAAAGACGGCGGCTGAGAGGAGACCTGATAGAGGTTTACAAAATTATGAGAAGCATTGACAGGGTGAATAGTCAGAGGCTTTTTCCCAGGGTTGAAGTTTCAATTACAAAGGGGCACAGGTTCAGGGTCACGGGGGAAAGTTTAAGGGAGATGTGCGAGGGAAGTTTTTCACACAGAGAGTGGTAGCAGCCTGGCATGCACTACCACAAGAGGTAGTGGAAATGGGCACATTGATGACATTTAAGAGGCACCTTGCTGGGTACATGAATAGGGAGGGAATAGAGGGATACGGATCGAAAAATCGCAGGTTTGTTTTTAGATTAATTAGGGCATGATGGTCACCACAGGCTTGGAGGGCCGAAAGGCCTGTTGCTGTGCTGTGCTTTTTCATTTGTTCATTTGTTCATTAAGCATGGCCAATTCACCTAACGTGCACATCTTTGGACTGTGGGAGGAAACTGGAGCAACCAGAGGAAACCTCTTACCTCATTGCGCAGTCCTTGTCTCCTGACAGCATTGGTTCTCACTGAAAGGGGCCAGCTCAGGTTGTAGTGGATACTGTGAACAATCTGACTTGCATTCTTCTTAGCTCAGAATAACTGAATTTCATCTCCTTGTTCTAGCATACAATTCACTTTGGGAGGTGGAATAAGACAAGCCAGACAGAATGGCTGAAGATTTACAACAGATAGTTTTTTTTTGTTTGACTGTGCTTTTGAAGTTTTGAAACATTCCAAACATTCCAGAAGGGTTTTGTGGAAAATAACTGGACTGAAAGCTACATGACCAAATGTTTGGTGAAAGAGTCAGGTCACGAAAGATGGGGAGATTCAGCGCTGGGTAGCTACAGGCCCAGCAGGCAAAGGTGGCACAATTAAAATCCAGAACATAGCAGAGGCAATCGTGAGAGGAATGCAGGTATTTCAGAGGACTGTGGGGCTAGAGTAGGTTACGGAGATAGACGGTAAGGCAAGGGAAGCAATGGTGAGCATGATACCATGGAAGGATTTTGAAAACAAGGATGAAGGTTTTAAAATTGAGGCCCTGACAGACCAGCATCCAAAGTAGATCCATAATCACAAGGCTAATCGGTAATTGGCACTTGACGCAAGTTTGCATACAGAGTTCTGGGTGGAGGCTGTAAGTTGAGAAGCTTAGAGAGGAGTGGAATAATCACACCTAGAGGAAAGCTAACTCTGGAATGTCCTGTTTAACAGACCAACATCTGTGTTGATTTAGATAGCAAAAAACTTTTAGAAATTTGCAAGTGTTCCATTGTAATTCTATAGTTGAACCGCAACATCAGTTTCTGCCTTTTTCCTGTCCAAAAGCCAATCCTTTACAGGGGAAGAAGCTGACCCTTTAGTTTGAAAAACAATGAACTTGTTCAGATGTGTTACAGCACATCTCTGGGGCAGGCTGGAATTGTGACCAGATCTTCTGCATTACAAGTGTCCTCACAATAGCCTCCTTCTGTACTGTAAAATTCTATGACTGAGTGTTTGAATCAACTAGTTAATTGATGTTATTACACACATCTGGAGCAGGTGGGACTTGAACCTGGGCTTCCTGGCTCAGCAGTAGGGACACTGCATCATGAGATTCCTAAAGACTGAGTGTGTTTTCTTTCTTTTCTATACCCAGATGCGCTCTTAAACGTAAGTGAGAAGCTCTTTCCTCCCATCATGAAATCACCTGTCGTATCAAGCACCTATTATCCACCACCATTAAATCACCTGTGTTTCCAATGAATTAAATTACGTACAAAGCCTGACCAGGGCAATGCAATACCATCAAAGGTGAGAGAAAAGGTGTGGATTAAATCAAAATGGAGTTGGAAGGGGAAGACTCAAATACAAATGTGTTCAAATACAAAGTTCAAAGATTATAGTCTGCTCTCAATCAACTTTGGAGCTCTTCTGCTTGACCCTTAAAGAGCCCTGCATTTCTAACATTGATAAGTCCTTGGAATGGAGAATGGTGCAGGAGTTATGGAGTTATAGAGTTGTACAGCACGGAAACAGACCCTTTGGTCCAACTCGACCATGCTGACTAGTTATCCTAAATTAATCTAGTCTCATTTACCAGCATTTGGCCCATATCCCTCTAAATCCTTCCTATTCATGTGCCCATCCAGACCCTTTTTAAATGTTGTAATCATGCCAGCCTTAACCACTTCCTCTGAAAGCACATTCCATACACGCACCATCCTTTGCATGAAAAAGTTTCTCCTTAGGTCCTTTTTAAATCTTTCCCCTCTCACCTTAAACATATGCCTTCTAGTTTTGGAATCTCCTACAGTGGGAAAAATATCCTGGCTATTCACCCCATCCATGCCCCACATGATTTTATAAACCTCTATAAGGTCACCCCTCAGCCTCCGACACTCCAGAGAAAATAGCACCAGTCTATGCAGCCTCTCCCTATAGCTCAAACTGTCCAACTCCAACAATATCCTTGTAAATATTTTCTGCATCTTTTCAAGTTTAACAACATCTTTCCAATAGCAGGAATACCAGAATTGAATACATTATTCCAAAAGTGGCTTAACCAATGTCCTGTACAGCTGCAACATGACCTCCCAAATCCTAAACGCAATGCACCAACCAATAAAGGCAAGTGTACCAACTGCCTTCTTCACAACCCTGTCTACCTGTGACTCCACCTTCAAGGAATTATGAGTCTGCACCCCTAGGTCTCTTTGTTTAGTTCTTTCTTCTCAACTACTTGTGATAATAGCCTCCAAAGCTTATTCATTTCCATCTCCAGTGTCTCAGTTCCAGCCTTACAAAATATCACAAACATCCACAATAACCACATAACCAAGACTGAGTGTGATGTTCTCACTGACAAAAACAAAACTTTGAGATCACGTTGAGTTCATTTAGTTTAGAAATGTTAACAGCCAAAATTACAGCCATATAAGTCTTGCTATCAGTGGGTTGTGTTCATTCATTTGAGTCACAAAGTCTTGAGTTCTGGATCTAATCTGGAGAATTGAATATATAATTGAAGCTGATAGCCCAGTGTACTACTGAATGAAAGCTGCACCGTTGGAAGTCCTTATTAGTAAATCTGTTTGGAAGAAGAATTGGCATGTTGCCACTACACAATGTTTAATATTCAAACAACATAATGAAAACAGATTATCTGTGCAATATTGTGTTACTGCTTGTGGGATCTTGCTGCACTTTTTTTGTTATGCTTCCTATGATAAGAGTGACTGCATCTTGAAACTTTTAAGCTGAAAAGTGCTTTGTGAGATTTTGAGCCTGTGAAGGATGAAACATAGAAAATAGGAGTAGGCCATTCAGCCCTTCGAGCCTGCTCAACCACTGCATATGATCATGGCCCTCTTCCCATTTTCTGTCCATAACATTCGCTCTCTCTTGCCCGAAGAACCATAGCTAATTCCTTTTAACGTTTTGGTGTCAACCACTGTCTGTGACAGAGAATTCCATAGACTCACCACTCTCTGGGTGAAGAAAATTCTCCTCATCTCAGTTCTAAGTAGCCGACCACCTATTTTTAGACTATGATCTCTGGTTCTGGACTCCCTGGTCATTGGGAATATCCTTTCTGCATTTACCCATAGAACGTAGAACTGTACAGCACAGGAACAGGCCCTTTGACCCATGATGTTGTGCCAAACATGACACCAAATTAAACTAATCCCTTCTGCCTGCCCTTGTTCCATAATGCCCCATTCCTTGCATATTCATGTGTTTATCTACAAGTCCCTTAAATGCCCCTATGGTATCAGTCTCCACCACCACCCCTGGCAGTGCGTTCTAGACTCCTACCACTCTCTCTAAAAAACCTGTGAGATATTGTATTATGATTCTCTTTGCCAACTCACTCACAAGCGCTGTGTGTTTACTATACCATGCTTCCATTAATTCATTCAAAACCCTTTACCAAC